ATGATTTTAACAAATGTTGAATGCGTGTTACCTGAAAAAAGTAGCGATACATGTGAAAATAATTTTTCACAAAAGTAGCAAAATGTTAAAAAGGAAGTATTTTGGCTTCCATTCAAAATACTATACTCATTAATTATAACTGTACTGATTGCCAAAATGCAACATATTTAAAAGATTGTTCAGGTAATTGGCCAATTAGTAACCTTTTTGGAAACTATAAAAGAACATCAAAATTATTGATTTTTTTTTTGGGGGGGGGGGATAAAATGAAAGCATTTCTGAGGCATAATACGCCTTTATACAGCCAACAATTTGTATTATAGGTATCAAAATGGCGTCGTTTCTGTTTTGAAATCCCGCGTAAATGACATCATAACATTACTTTACTAGCTGTTTTGTTTGGCGCCTTTCTACAATCAAGCACACTGAGAAAGTTTCGTTTAAATTGGTAATAATAGTTTAGAACATTCCTCTAGTTTTTGGACTGCCTCGGGACCCAAATAATCATGTTGCTATGAAAATGCATTTTTTTATTCTACAAACCTGTAGATGCTTAAATCAATATATCAGCTCCATATTAATTGATTTTCAGAATGGTGTAAGGCATCAAACGAAGAAATGTGAGCGCAAAATTTGCATATTTTTACAGAGGTTCTCAGTACATGGACCGAACGACCATACGTTTGAACAAGGCTAAAAAACTGATTCAGTTATGTAAATCAGTTCGTTCACAAACGTCATGATTAATTGTGACAGGAGAATGGAATCTTTTAAATTTGGAGTTAATGTATAACCTTATTCAATAAAACCTTCATTTATTGTTATGGTTGTTGTTAAATCGAGGAAATATTAAAATGCATATGAAACAAATTTGACTTATTTTCCTCTTTTTTTTTGCTTTTACCAACAAGGACAAATTCACAATATAATGCCATTATATCTATCTTTCATAAACTTGAACTTTATTTTAAAGAAATACAACATCAAACAGACTAATTTTCCTTATAGGTCTAGAGTGTACCCTTCTATAAACAAGTGTAATTCTAAAAGGTGCGGATGTTTTAACTTTTTATCTCACATAATCCTTTCTGGGTGCCCTCCTGTGGTGGCTTGGGTGTGTTTGGAACGTAGCCTTTGCCTTGTTGATCCTTATTCTCGTTTTTTAGTAGAAGTTTAAAATTCATCATAATGAGAAGTGAATTCACAATGCCATGTCGGATGAATCACACAAAGAAACTCATTCTAGTTCCTGAAAAAAAAAAAATGATAAACAAGATCAACAAGGAAAGGCGGCGTTCAATGAACGCAACCCCCATATGACCCAGCATATGACCCAACACACTATTTGTAAAATATGATAGAGGATGTATAACTGTTTTTTCTGGAAATGATTTAATTATGTACAAATAACTCATTTTCCTTTCTGACCTAATCTCATTGTGGACATAAGCACTTGCATGATTCCTGGTTTATGACAGAAACCCAGTGAAAACTGATTTATTGCAGTTATAAATTATTGTCCAAATGTACAATAATAAATCTGTTTAAATAGGTCTTTATTTACAAAATCAAAATCATCCTTTATGCAGACTGAACAGAAACTGTGCCTTAACGATAACATTTTAAGTCCCAGAAGGAAGCAAGTTTTCAATTTCTGTTACAGACTTGCTTATATTAGTTATATTTATGTTGATTTGATATATTTGATAATCTGAATTGTCTTTTATAAAAGATATAAAGATTGATATGCTTGGCAGATATTGTTTCATTTGTATTTCGTCACTAAATAATGTGGTTGAAAATTTTCAAATGTGTATTTTGCATACTATGTCTTCAAAAGCGTTTATTAAACCATTCATTTAAGCAGAACCCGTATCTGGATCCAGTAAAAAGCAGGTCGGCGACTTAGTTAGACGTTAATTTGGAAAAAAAATGTCTTAACAGGTACAGTCGTTCCTACGTCGTTCTTTCTCAGTTATTTTAATCGTTTTGTTTGTGAAGCTGATATCGCCTTTATATGCCGTCCTTTCCAATTGTATATGCCCAACAACTATAATACATACATTCGCGTAACAATAAAAAAAAAACTTTCAAAATATCTAAATTTATCAATTTCTTGAATGCCTTTTTAAAGAAACTACATGTACTTTTATGAGAGTTTACGTGTCAATACCACAATACTCGCTATAACTAATTCAGGAGCGTATTAAACCTCTGCCTATCGAAGCAATTAACTCCCTGTATAACATAGTTACAGCGGGCACGATTGTAGATTTGTTTAAAACCCCTCCACTAAAATTGGTTGCTCTAGTGCAAATAAAAATATTAATCTAACAAGAGGGCCATGATGGCCCTGAGGTCGCTCACCTGTATAAAGGCACCTGGACCGGGGCCAGTTTAAACCCCAGGGTTTTTATTTGAACAAACTTGGAAGACACCCATTAGAAGATGTTTCACGATGTTAAGTTTTAACTACACACATATAATGAAAAACAACAATCTACCCCCCTCCTTCCGCGCCCCCTTGGCAGGGCCAATTTTAACCCAAAAGCTTTTATTTGAACAAACTTGATAGACACCCATCAGAAGATGTTTCATGCTAAACAACTAAGCTCTAGCTCATTGGTTTTTTTAAAAGAAGATTTTTTAAGTTTTTACTATACACATATAGGGGAAATCAATGACCCCCTGGGGCGGGGGCAATTTTGACCCCACGGCTTTTATTTGAACAAACTTGGTAGACACTCTTTAGAAGATGTTTCATGCCAAATACCTAAGCTCTAGCGCTTGGGGTTTTTTAAGAGAAGATATTTAAAGTTTTTTCTTTCACCAATTAGAACATGTTTAATGCTTAATATCTAAACTCTAGCTATTTGGGTTTTTTCAAAGAAGATTTTTTAGTTTTTACTATATGCAAATAAGGAAAATCAAAGATCCCCTGGGGCGGGGCCAATTTTGACCCAAGGGCTTTTATTTGAACAAACTTGGTAGACACTCACAAGAAGATGTTTCATGCTTAATATCTAAACTCTAGCTATTTGGTTTTTTTCAAAGAAGATTTTTCTAAGTTTTTACTATATGCATATAGGGAAAATCAATGACCCCCTAGGGCGGGGCCAATTTTGACCCCAGGGCTTTTATTTGAACAAACCTCGGGTAACAGTATTTTCCTCGGGTAACAGTATTTTCCTCGGGATGATATTTTTACTGTTACCCACAAACCCATGTGTTATTTATATAATATCACCCTTAGTTCGAGAACAGTCAAAGCTCCTTGTTTTGAAAACAAAAATTCAAATGTAAAGAAAGTGACACACGTATTCAGCATGTCGTTTTGTTACATCTTACTGACATTGTATAGAGGGATAATGTCATTTAAGGACAGCTTTCACTACTTACATACAATTGTGTTATTTACATGACCATTACTGTATGATGATAGACTTACAGATAGTTATACTATTTACTGTTTAAACAAGGACGTGGAAAATAGCATGTTTGTATGTGTTGACAATATATCTGTGCCATTCTCATTTTCCTTTGTATAAGATGTCCTGGAAAGACACAACGTTTGGTGGAAAGCAAAACATAAAATTAATTTATTCATATACATGTACTCAACCAAAACAAGGGGAAATTTGAGTACAAAGGTGTACAATTTCCTTGTAAATAACTCAATATATTGTACAAAGCATTGCTAATTTAACAGTTTCAAACAGTTTTAAAACATAAGAAAACATGAAGTTGAGTAAATAAATGAAAATTAATGTATTAAATATAAATAAGTGTTTATAAACGCATCCAGAAAAAAAACACAACTTATTCTCATACTCTCTTTAATTGTTATCAAAATGTTATTACTCAAAAGTATAATCAATAAGATAAAGAAAGTAAAACAAAATTTGTTTGATTTTATTTCCGTAAATGTACTCTGTCCTCAAGCACAAAATTAATAACCATACTGTTTCATTCTAGCCTAAACGTCATCAATAAACAAAAGACACTAAGTGAAAGCTTCGTGCACATATACTTGAATAAGGTCAATGGAATGAACTGGTGGCCTTATATATAAGAAAACATTGTAGCAGAATAGTGTCAGAGCTTAATTGAGGTAACACAGAATTTGTATTGAAAATAACTTTGGGCATCAGTATTACAAATAGTTCTTTCCAGAATAGTCGAATACAGTTAAAACTGACTTCTTTAGCCGATGCTATATATATTGGTACACAGACAAAACAACATTTTATTCACAATTATTTCTATACTGTATCCAGTTGCTCATTCTGCGTTACCAGTGGCGTAGCGCGGCCAAAAGTAATTTTACGCCTTGGGGTTGGATAAGGGAGGGCACTTGAATACTGTTGAATCACCCTTATGATATGAGGCATGCTTTTTAAATTTGTCCTTCGACGTTATATCTGTGATATGCAGGCTTCATAACCTCAGATCCTCTTTCAAAATTCCATTTTATTTAGTTCCGCCCATTGTTTTCTCGTTTAGGGAAAACGGTTTTTTTACTTGGGGACCATATGCCGCTTTTCATGGAATGACACTAACGTGTCACATTAAAGGTTACATGATAAATGCCATATGAACACATCTGCGGATGTTTCAAAATTCTAAATTTTACCAGTTCATGTTAAATGTTGAATTCTGCTTAAGCCGGTGCTAGGGGGCGTGGACTGTAACTTGCACTTTCCAGTACCGTACATGAACAGGCTCAATCAAACCGAGCCTGCAACATTTTCAATTTTGCCGCGTTGGGCTTTCTTTAGGTATTCTTATTTCACTCTACTTTAACGCTATGTTTATGTAACGCAAATGACGTCTTGTCAAAATATATACACGACCTTCAATACCATTTACGAGGTCGCAAAATCGGCTCCGGTATATGATAAATTTCATGATGACATCTAAGCCGCTATGGTTATTCTCTGAAGACAAATGCAAGGCGTTGTTGTTTTATTGCTGCAAATTTATCAACTATGTACTCAATTTTAGTAGTCAATTTTCATGTCTCTGTAAATATTCATTAGGCCAAGCCCAGACAGCCGCTCTGTAGTCATGGTAGATCTTAAGTATGTTTTCAATCTCTTCATGGTGCTGAATGATCGTTCAGCTGTAGCCGTAGACACTGGCATAGTGAGCAGTACTAACAAACAACGACGGACATTGGGATAGTACTGCTCATTAGCCAGTGGTAATGTTCCTAGAAGTGTCTCAGGAGCTTGTGGACGGTCCAACGCAAGTGCCCCATCTGTCCACCATGTAACCCACTTCCTCACTTCCCTGCTAAAGGTAGCTTCGTCCGTACCCCCTAGACAACCTCTATATGCTTCATACAGACGCACTATATTGGTTGTGTTTATGGCTTCCTTCTGAATCTGTGAACAAAAATCGTAATTGTATGTCATATCCTCTTAAAGCAACCCTTTACACTTAACCTAAAAATGAATGATGTTATGTTTAAAACAAAAAAAATTATCAGGTAGGTAATTATTTGTTTGTTTTGGTTTTTACGTCACATCGACACAGTATAGGTCATATCGCGACGTTCCAGCTTTACTGGTGGAGTAAGACCTCAGGTGCCCTTCCGTGGATTATTTCACCTGAGTAAAACCACCGACGTTCCGTAAGCTAGCTGGATAGCATCCTCACATGAAAGAATCCAAAGTCCCTGTCGGGATGCCAACCCACAGAGGTGAGGGGCAAATGGTTTTAGGTCAGGTGGGTAATTATAACAAATAAATACACTGAATCAATTTCCGCAGACATATATCAATTCCAGTTACATAGTTCACACTTACATAAAATGAGCGTATAATTAGATTTGGCAAAGTAATCAATATAAAAGTTCAATTACTTGAGATGGAATAAGATTCTGGGCGAGGTATCTCTCGTTCGCTTGCAGTAATCGATCCGACAGGTCTGTTATTAAATGATCTGTGAACGGGAGGTACATGTTCAATCGCCAAAACTCTGAGGGTGTATCTGCTGGAACATTTGGGCGATTTCGTTGACGACCGTTACTTCTGGGCATACTGGGTTCAACCCCCACAGTCCTTGCTATATTCACAGCTTTATCATACAATGCTTCCCATACAGTTATATCATTTCTCTCGTTCTGAAATGCAAGTACATTAGGACAGATATAGAATTGCCAAAATTTACCGTAATTATGGTATATGTAACACTAAATGACCAAACGGACCTTCGGTTTTAGTGTAAATGTGTCATGATTTATTTCTATGGCAAATATAATATTATAAAACTGTTTATTGATACATTTGGTATTACAGTCCATGTACAATTGTTTTGTATCAAATGCAATGCGACATCAAACTATTTAGTGTAGCAAGTACCTGAAGCATTACTTTCTGAGTCTTAGCCTCTTGTGAAGCTTTTAGAAGATCACACGTTTTCTCCTGTAAGTTTTCAGACAGCTGCACAAGCGACTTGATACAATGTTCCGTCGTCACTAGAGTGATTACAAATTCAAAAGTTGAAACCGATAATAAGTAGGCAGCAGCTTTTGCGTCCCCGTCATCTGCAAGGAACTCCAATGCACTTACTACGGTGCTTGAAAAAAAATTATTTAGTTATTCAATGTTATACCAACCTTGTTTTATGTTATTTGTTACTAGTTGCCGATGGGATACTAATATACGGGAGAATATAGCCCGGATGAGATAAATATGAACCGATGCTATATTCTCACGAAATCCGGTCAGCAATTTGTACATGTATAACGAATGTATAATAATGCAAATTGTTATTGGTGGCAAGTTTTTTAATCAAAGCACATAAGGCGCTGAACTTGTTTAGGTCTCAGAATGTCAGAAAGGTAAAAGTTTTGAGATTATAAACCAAGTTGTTTTTTAAAAAAAGTAAAAAGTTGCCCCGTACTTCACTTCAGTGTTGTTATATTTTTCTGGTCCTTCGGGATCATTGATGCCAGCACTATTAAGTGTTGAGAATTGAGTACCGCTCAAGCCGGTGCTAGGGGGCATGAGGGATGTTGCACATTTTCATTATCCCTCATGTACAGACTCAATCAAACCGAGTCTGCAATCTTCTTGTAATTATGTTGTGATTAATGCTTCCGAGGGATCACTTTGTTTCCTGATTTGTATAGTCCACCAATGCTGTTTCCAGTGTTATAACTGTAGTAAATTGGCTATAAGGCTAATTGCAAAACTGATATTCAATTAAATGATAATTTTGTTTAAACAGTATTTATTTCATGTAAAATATAGTAAACAAGATCAACAAGAGAATGGCGGCGTTAAAAACACGCAACCCCCATGTGACTCAGCAACAAGAACCAGTGACAAGGAGCCCAGGCGGACCCCAAACAAAAAAAGGACAGGGCAAAGACAGAGCACGGACAGGTTAATCACTAAATTATTGGCGCACCGCGCCGAAGCGCGGCGCCCTTATGGAATGTAATCGGATTTTGTGAAAGGGCGACAGCAACTTCTCGAGCCTTTTAGTCGGTCATAATAAAAGCCGATCATTCCGATCGGTATGAGGGTGCTTGATTATTAATTAAGAATGAAATGTCGCGATATGTTACAATGAATAGCGAACTGGAGATTCGCAATGCAAACATTTTCAAATGAAATAACCTTTTCCGTCAATTAATCGCGCTCTACGGGGTTTTTTATTTATCATTTTGTAGTACACAGTGGGTTATCATGGTATGTTATTGTTGACCTAAATATTCCAAAAATCTTTTTATAGATATATCTATTTATCACTCCTATCGGTAATTCCCGGTCTCTCTCGGTCTATTGTGACCGGGATTTACTAGTGACCGGCGAATAGTACCACACGTTTATTGTCCGGTCTCTCCCGGTTTTGGAGTAGATGTTTGATATCGTTACAATTAAAAAAAACCAACAACAGCAACAACAATAGCATGTTTCATTTTATCTGTATGAGATAAAAATAATAAATATGTACAATAATTGCGAAAAAGGTACATTTTTTATGGTATTAAGATGACATTATCAACTTTGAAACATTTTATTTAATTTGTTATCCGTGTTTAGTAAAGATGCCGAGGAATTATTCAAATCAGGTACAAATTAGATTTTTTGAATTATTCAATTGATTGATAATTTAAAAAATGATAAAGAAACTTACAAATGTACATGTACATGGTTTAAGAATAAACAATATTATATATTGAAAGATAAACCATAATTTACTGACTTTTTCCAGTTAAGTTTTGACTTATAATCGTCGGTCGATATGACCATTGAATTCTTAAAATTTATTTTACAATTTTAATAAAAAAAAAGAGTAGTAAACATAAAAACTCAGTATTAATATAGCACATAAAACACAAAAAAGAAAAGAAAACAATATTCATAAAATATGTATTTTTTTTATTTAAATTAATAGATATTACAATTATTGTACAATAAACAATTATGCTCAACATGATCAACATAGTAATATAACCAGTGTCATATTTTTACTAAGTGTGAACAGATACCTTAAGAGGGAGTCTTCGCTAATAGCGATAACATAATAAGGGACAATTACAAAGGTGTGGTACGTGTTGATCATGCGTTACACATATGGATTATAAATGATTGTATACATGTATATCCGTTGCTATTAATAACCACGATCATAAAGAAATAACAAGTAATATTCTAATCTCTAGCATGCAAATCAAAGTTCATAATGAACAATGTCTTTCGTCCGCTCATTCATAAGTGATATACATTTCTGATAGTTTATAAGAATATCTTGTCATTATATGTCTACTAGTTCATCTTCACTTGCTGCATTTCTTGCTTGGACGCCCTTTGATGCTTTTCTTGTAAATAATTTGTAACTGATTAGGAATTCAAAGAAAACAAATGAATGATTGAATTATAGGCCGTCAAAGTCAAAGGGGACAGGAGACCGGGGGAAGGGGGGGGGGGGGTTAATCAAAGAAATAAAAACTAGGGGTAATGGGGAAGACACTTACTGTAGACGAGAAAACAACAAGGGACACAAGCAAAAGTGTCACCAAAACAGTATGAAACAACATAGACATACATCTGAGGAACATAGAGGGGCGCCGCCTCGGATCGGTCAGCAGCATAATAATGACTGATATGACTACATGATAATGATACAAACATATACAACTATGATACAACAACATTACATTAACAGGATTGAAAAGGAAGTCAAAGACTTATGTAGATTTCTTTCCTGTAAAATGAAAAAATAAAGCAAATTATAATGTAACAACACGTACAAGTACACTAGTTACTAACATGAAATAAAAACATAATTACGCCTAGAAAGAGTGAAATAGGTAATGAAAATACAACAAACGACAAAAAAAGTAAGAATTACAACAAATGTACGATTAATACTAAAAAGGGTACGGAAGGAAAAAAAAGCTCGATCTTAAGACTGAACAAATATTTTCTACTTTTTGATATGAACACAAGAATTATAGTAAAGAAGAAGCATATATATAGAAGGATAGTTATAGAACACAGAGAACGAGATGTGGCCATTGTCTTTGAAAGGGATGATAGGTCAGTTTTGCACAGCAAATGCCTGTGATTGTTTTTTTACATAAGAAAAGGAATTTTTAAAAAACATAAGAAAAGGAATTTTTACTTAAGTGTCGATATAAATTATTTGATTTTTCTGTGGTTATCAGGAGTATTTACATCCTGGTATCTTATTATTATTGTTACATAAGAGACAAATTATAAATCATGATAATATAGTAAAGGATGAAATTAAAATAATGTTGCATTAAGAAAGCACGTGATAAACGTTCATAAGTACACCATTTATATTGTTTATGAATTATATAAGGAGTTAGGCAAGACAAAACCGCTGTATGCTAGAGATATATTCATGTACAAGATCAAATATTTTGGCATTTGTTTCATCGCTAAGACCTCTGTCGCCATACAGTAAAGTTGACAATGTAACTGTTGTTATTTGTTGAAGCTGTTCCCTGAGAATGGTCCTCTGGCAGGAAAATTGATTGCAATTAAAAAAAGTGACATGAATCTTTATTATTTGGCTTAAACAATTAAATAAGAATGAATTGCCTTCCTAAACGGGCGTGTGAACCCTCGAACACGGGGAAGTTACTAGTATAAGAATACAGCCTGAAGAAAACCATATTAATCTAAATAAGGGTTTGTAATCCTTATTAATTTCAAGTTATTTTGTTCACGGTAAACCTGTTATTTAAAACTGATGTAAATAATCTACTAATGGAACTTAATAGAAGCATTTATATCTGTAAAGAATTACACAATATTAGAATTCTTTGACCAGGTCAATCAGGAACTATTTTTCCCCCGAGAAGGCTTGAAAATTAATGTCCCTGTCATTTGACAATCTTTACGCAGTGATCTCCCCTTTTTCGGCGTTAGCGTAGTTATAAAGGGAAGTAACCGCTTCGAGGACTTCGGGATCCTTTCGAAATTTTGCAAATAAGCGTATCAGGGTCTGAAATTTCGCTACCATTATTTGTTTGATCTGATGACCCAAACAAATAAAAAAGTTCACACTTCTTTCATAGGAGCGCGGGAAAAGAGGCACATAAAGAATATTGCGTCAGACGTTAAATGGCGCAATTTAAGGTTATTCAAGTCATCATTACGGTTGTACTTTTTTTGAAGTAATGGCATATGAATTGAGTAATATGCCATAAAGAACAGTAATACATTTTATCCAGACACGTAATTAGTTAACCATTTACGTTGGAGAAAACATTGTTTTCCGTGATATATAGGGCATACTATGTAAAATGTTCACAGCTGATCAGAGTTCGAAAAATTTATTTGCATTATTATAAATTTTGATACATTTTATATGCTTTATACATAGTCACAGAAATGATCTACTACAACTATAATAGACAGTACGTAATAGGAAATAATTGAATACTTTGAACTTTGAAGTTTGTTATTAATAAATAATGAATCCGAACCAATTTATTTATTCATCTAAATCCATTAAATAGTTACTACAATTGTATTTCGAAGAAAATATCAATAATCAAGCCAACTGAAAAAATATTATTGATATAGTTACTGTAGTCAATTCCCGCCTTTTCTGTACATAACGAAAAGAAAAGGGTTTCATACAACTGACATGTATATTTACCTGTAAGAACAGAGGAATGTGTCCAGTGCCCTAGCTCTAGCTGTCAACCGTGTGTCACAAAGATCTGTTACCCATAGCTTCTGTACTCTGAGGGTAGGTTTCAAGTGTTCCCTATGACATAAATAATGGCACCATAATCAATAAAGAAATTATAGTTTATACATGTACTATAAAACTAATATGTATACTCTGAAACGACAGTGTTTGTTTGTTTGGATTTTTACGGCACGTCAACACATAACTGGCCATATCGTGCCGAACGCTATAATAGGCTAAAAATGTTATGTAAAACTTTGTAAATGACAATAGAAATGAACCAATTAGATCCTAGAATACAAGTTTATCTCTTTCAAATAATCAATTATGTTTTTTGATGGAATTGTATTAAAAAGTTCTTTGAGTGAATTTACAGAATAAAATCTATTACGGGCCTGTGAAAAATCATGACATTCAAGAAGAAAATGCTTGACAGT